AGGGCCCGAGAGGAAACTGGGGGGCGGGGGGTGCTAAAGCACAGAGAAGAATTGGCTTCCAAGCACGAGGGCAAATCCCGAGGAGGGAGTCTTTTGCAGCCGGGAGGCCTTTTGCAGGGGAGGGGCTGATGAAGTGGCCTGCAGACAAGAGCTCCAACCTGGGCAGCGATTCTTTTTTATTATCTTCAGAGGGAAAGGACCGGGCTTGCTCGTCCCTCCCGAGCCCGCCAAGTGTAAGAGAAGGGCCCTTGCTCAGTAACGCTCGTGGAAGCATTCGGATCCCTGTCCCTGGTACCCCGGACCCCTGTGTGGACGCGCGCCCCCCCCTGCGGGAGCACACTTGGTCACTCCATCACCCGGCGCCAGCTCGCGCCCGCGGGCCTGTCCCGGGGGCCGCCGCAGCAAGGAGGCCCGAGCGGGGTGCGCGCCCCGGCAACCCGCGGAACCCGGCGCGGAACCCGCGCGCGGCGGCTGGGCCCGGGAACCGAGGAGCAGCCGCCAGCTCCAACGTGCGCGCGAATCGGTCCAAGCGGGAGGGAGCGCCGCGGCCAGGGCCTTGTCCCTGGAAGAAACGAGCCAGGCGCGCTGGGGAGGTAGGAGCGGGAACCCATCAGCTCCACGGAGTGACAAAGCCCTTTTATCGTAAATCAAGCCCATCTCGCGCCCGCGAAGGTGCTCGTCTTTCCGGGCAGCTCCCCTGGGGGCGGCCAGAGAGGAGCGGGAGCTGGTGGAGCCCCAACCGGCGGGCGAGGCACCGGGGGAGAGAGCTGCAGTGGAGACCGGGTTTTGACTCAATCCGACCTGCAGGGCGGACGCCTGCCGAGCGCTCCTCCGGGGCTGGCGCAGCCCGGCGGCGGTTCGCGGAGCGCAGGCGGGAGCGCAGGCGGAGGGCGCAGACCGTGTCCCCGGAGCCGCTCCACGGGCCGCCTCGCCGCGCCCGCTGCGCTGGGGTGTCCAAGAAGCCGACCTAAGGCCCTGCTCCTCCCCCCGCCGGCTTCCGCTGAGAACTTATTAAATAGGGACGGTTTAGAGTTGAGCTGTCACTGAGCACTACTTACCCTGGGATCTTTTGGTTTTGAATTACTTTATTGATTTGAAGATTTTGTTCTTTGGAATGTGACCCTGTTTGGACTTAGAGCTAATCAGGAAACGTTGCCAGGGAGGGCGCTTTGTAATCACCTCGCGGACCTCCCCCGCGGGCGCGCCCCCCGTGGTCTCCGAGGCTCGCGGGGCGCCCGCCTGCGCCTCGCCGCGCCCGGGGAGCTGTCTGTGGTGCTAGGAGAGGGAGCCCAGGAGGGGTGGGAGCAGGCCCGGAGGAGGGAAACGGAATTCGACGTCCGCGAACACGGTCCACCCAGCAACATGCGGACCAAGTGTTCAAATTTCAACCAAGAGGAGGGGAGGGAGGTAGTGCCTTCTGGAGTGATCTCACCGTCTTGAGACAGGTGAGCTGGTTTTCCAAGGCAAGAGATCAGTGATAACTCTCTTTCTCTGAACGCACATACCCCCAATCCTATACACCTACCCCTACTCAGCTGTCGGGGTGTTCAGTCCACTAGCCCAGGGAAAGAGACGTAGGCTGGGGCCAGCCAAGAAGGTGGACAAAGACCTAGTGGGAGACACAGGGAGCCCAGAAGCACTGCTCCAGTGTCCAGGAGGTAAACGCTGGAGAAGCCCCTACCGACCTCTCTGCCCACACCTTTCTAGCCAATTGCCAAGGCACAGGGCAAGCCAGCTTTCCCTCACCAGGGATTCAGAGTTATTAGGAAATGCCAATTCCCTTGGAGGCTGGGGCCTGCCCTACACGCTGCCCTACTCGCTGCCCACCAGTGATGATAAGTCAGTCACTTTTTCCAAACACGTTGACTTCAAGCAGCCTCTGAATTTTTAGAAAACCAAGCAATTCTCTTCAGTATATTTTTGTAACCACGTGGCTTAACAGGAACTAAAGTTTCCTTAGCCCTGGGGAGAGCTTTTCCAAATATTTTTAGAAAGTTAAAAATATAACAAAACAAACTAGTCGCAAGCAGCCTGTTTCAAGATGAGAGGTGGGATCCGCAGACTCCTGGGGAGGGGCTGCCTAGGCAGGAGTCAGATGGCAGGAAGGGTGCGGGGGGAGAGGAGGAAAATCTTGGTTTGAGGGTAAGTGATTTTATTTGCAACAGAGGAAACCAGCTGTCTAATTTGCCATCTTGTGGGCTTTCATTTTAAGGGGTGGAGCAAAAATAAATTGATACAAGGTGGTAGGTATATTTGCTGGAGGCTCGCAGGCAAGCAGCAATCATTACTTTGCAACTCATTGAAAACTGCTGGCTTGGGCTGGAACAGCTGACTGCTAGCCTGGGAGTTAACTTCTCACTTCACACTCAGTAGAGTGCTGGGTTTGCGGGGTCCTGGAGTTGATCTTGGGGTGAACAAAATACGGGGGCCTTTTTGGGTGTTCAAACATGTCCCTGAAACTGGTTCAGTTTCCTGCTTCTGTAGCAAGCAAAAACTGCAGCTGGAAGTTCCTGGGTTGCCAGTCCCCACTTCATCAAAGGAACAACAATTGGAATGAATCTAACCTATGGCGTGCCCTTCAGATACCAGCTGAAGGTGGGAAAAGGAAAGGAGCTCAGCTGTCAAGGATGGTCATCCTGTGGGTTTTCATAACTAACTCCAGATCTCTCATGAGAAAAGACATTTTTACTGTTTTCTTGTCCCTTGCTTTCCTGAACAACGGGGGTTGCATTCATGCCTCACCTCCTAGCCAGCCCGTAACTTTGTTGGACAGGCACAGGGTAGGAGAACCCATTCTGAGGGGAAAACGCTGGATTTGTTTTTAACTTTTAAACAGCAACTTGGGGGGTGTTTGACTGAAAGAGCACCTACCTGCAGGGGTGCCCTTTTCAGTGCTGTTGCAGGAAGAAAGGAAAGAAAAGGTGATCCAGCCTTCAACTTTCTTCCTAGGACAACACTCTCCTCCCCCAGACATCCAATTTGCCAGCTTCTATGCGGTAGGAAGCAACTAAAACAGATTTAGAAGGGGAATTGACACTTTTCAGCTGTGCATTTTAGGGAGTGAAAGAAAACCTGTCATTGAAGAAAAAGACATTTGGGTGGAGACAGAGTAGTTGCTAACAGCAGTGGAGTAAGTTAATTAAGAAACCTTGGTCCCTGTAGATGCAGTGCTTCCGCTGCTCTGTCCACCTACAGAGTCCACGTTTGTCCTTGAGAGTGAAGGTGCAGCAGGTGGGCCCCCTCAGCGGAGTAGAAAGCTAGCAGATGGGAGCTATGGCCTTGTTTGTATTTCTAAGTTTGTGTGTGTTTTCCAACTAGGTCTAAGGTCATTCTTGGCAGGGAACTTGGGGTGTGTGAATTCCCCTGATGTCCAAAGTCCCCACTGTATCCAAAGCTCGCCAGCCCAGCTATAGCAGACAGACGCTATAGCATCCCCAAGCCTTGAAAAGTACCTTTCTAGGTTCAGGCAAACCATTTTTGAACTATTTAAACTTAATTGTAAAACCCAAAGCCGATAAGATGGAACAAGAGCCTGCTGAGTGTCCACGCACTGGCATCCCCACCAAATAGTTTCCAGACCATCCCAATTGAGTTTGTCCCACAAAGAAATAAGAAGGGTCGGTCCAAACCCTGCTGTTAGAATCAAGACCAAGACCATTTTTAAAGCAAACTGATGAGCTGGAGCGAAATCTGCAAACCACTCTCTAATTAGCCAAGGTCCAATAAAGGCACCCCAGGCAATTTCCTCCTGGATTTCACCTCTTTTCCCTCTTCTTCCTTTCCGCCCCACGCCGACACAAAAATTCCTGCAGGACACCATACCTGTAAAAATGCTTTTAGCTCTACTGAGACTCCAACATCAGAGAAAGTTGGAAAACCAACTGGATGTCTTTCAGTTGTGTGCCTTACCCCTTGACGCTGTACTAGGAAAGGCGTGAGAATGGAGACATAAGGGGGACGCAACCCGTGGGGCATCTGACGCTGGCTCCTCAGAAAGGAGTAAGTGGGGGCAGTCCCAGCACTGTATCCCTTAATCACTTGTTCCATCACAAAATCCAGAATGCTGAACTTAATGGGGAGCCAGTCTGGATAGAGTGCGAACACAGAGTATTGACACACATACATGCATGTATACACAGACCCCCAACTCCTCAAGCAGGCCTAAGTGGGCCTCTTCCAGCCTCCCCATAGGGTCTTTCATTTTGGGGTCCCAATGGACCCAAGCATGCTAATGAAAAGCTTGGCACGCGCCTGTCTCATCCAGAGCTGCATTTCCACTCCAGGCTTCCCAGCACAGCGAACTCACTAGGACGAGAAGCAAGGTGCGGGGCTAGGGGCTAGATGCCCGCAGGGGTATGAGAACGCAAGGATCAAAGCCTCGACGAGGGTTTGTTAGCGGTGCCTCTCCGAGTCCCGGGAGAGTCCTAATTGCGCGCCCTGCAGTCTCCCGCTCGCAGGCTGTCCCGCCGTGCGGGCGCCCAGCCGCGGGCTGCGGAACAGCTGCGAGGCCGGAGGAGCGTCAGCCAGCCCGACAGCTCGCCAGCCCGCCCGCCCGCCCGCCAGCACCCAGCCCCAGCCGGCCTGGACTCTGCAGCCCCGAGCTCAGACCCCCGAAGCCCGGGTGGAGGCCGAGGAGGAGGAGGGGGGGCGGCAGGCAGACCCGGTTGAGCGGGGGCTGCCCGGCAGGCGGGGACGGCCAGGGAAGCGGGCCTCCCACCTAGCCAGCGCCGCGGCCCGCGCGAGCACAGACTGTCGCCCCGCAGCCGCGGGCTGCTCCGCCATCAGCTACTCAAAAAGAAGAAATCGACACCTATCAAATAACGGCTCGGAAGGGGCCAGCATGGAAAAAACGGAGCTGTTTTTGTACAAGTCGACCCAACGTCTTTACAGATTTTGTAAATTCCTGATATTCCGGGAGGGATTTTTTTTCCAAGCCAATTCGCGCATTTGCTTATAGTACATTTTGCTTTAGTAAAATCAGCTCCTTTGGATTTCATCACTTGTTAAAAAAAGATAAACTTTATTTTTGTAATTTTCAATCACAAAAAAATCTATATTTTTGTCTAAGCATTTATTTTACTGAATCAAAAAGACATGAAAAGAAAAATGTTTTACTAACGTATATAAGTGACTCTTTTTTGGACGACATATAATAAATATGATATATCACTTATCACTCAGTCTTTCAAATGTACATTTTTTTTTCATATTATGGAGCATGCCACTTTTCCAAACGAAAAAAGGTCATGAGAAATCAGTGCAAAGTTCTCAGTTACCCTCCTCTTTTCTCTGGGGCAGACGGGGTGTCCACGGCAACGCCCTCTGCCTCGGAATCCGGGTCTGTCCGTCCGTCTACTCTTCTCTCTGCCTGTGCTGGTCGCTCTCCGCGCCTTCTTCCTGCCCTCCTCGCCCCTCCCCCCTCCCCTCTGCTTGTCCCTAAAGTCATTTTTAAAAAGAACTTGAGGTTCTGTTTTTGTTGCCGTTTTAAAACTTACTGCTCGCACTCTGTGTGGGTTCAGCGTTCCCGCCAGTCACACTGCGGAGGCGCTTCAGCCCCGTCTCCGGGGAGGGGAGATGCAGAACGCAGGGCCGGCCCCGCCTGCCCCGCCCCGCCCCGGCCCGGCCCGCGGCCGAGAGTCTTCCTCTCACTTTCCGCCCGGGTCGGCTCCGGGTCGGCCGCGGAGCTCGGCGCCGGGAGAGGAGGGGCCGCCGTCCGAGCTGGGGAGGGGGTGGGGAGGGGCCGCCACGCCGCTGCTCTTTCTTCACCGGGGGTGCGGGGTTCCTGGGATGGGGTTGGATAAGGGGTTGAGGGCGGGCTGGCCCCCGGGCCCCAGGCCGTGGATGAGCACTCGGGGCACCAGGGGCCGCTGCAGCTGGGGGTGGGGCGCGGGAGGAGTCCGGTACATGCTGCTGTACATGGCTGCGGCTGCCGCCGCCGCGGTAGTGCTGTCCATGCTGCCCAGCAGGCTCGGGTGGTAGAAATAAGGCGACGGAAACATCCTCTGCAGCGCTGAGTAGTTCCCCGCCTCGGCCAGCAGCTCCAGGCCCACGGCCGTCTGCCGCTTCCACTTAGTCCTGGGGGGGAAAAAAAAATCGAGGCGCGCACGCATCCCGCAGGTAGGGGCGCGGTCCCGGCCCCCGGGCCCCTTCCCTCGCCCTCTGCGTTCCCTTCCTCACGGGACAGGAGGGCTGAGAACTCTGAGAAGTTCTCCGGGCCGCCCCACCCCACTCTCTCACTCGCAAAAAGACCCAAATCCAAGTCAATTTCGTAAATTACATCGGCGAAGTCTGAGACACTTGCAAAAGGGACTTCTACTGGGCTTTGCTACCTTTTCCTGACCCCTCTGCTCTGCTGTTGCCCCTTTTATAGTTCAGCTACTTTCTGAAACTCCCGCCAGCCAACCTTAGACCCCTCTTCCTATTAGCGATCTTCTCCCTCAACTAATTCCCCTCCTGGAGGGGCCCCCCAACAATCCCAAGTGTTGGCTCTCTGCCCCTCCCCCTTTGCCTCAGAACGAGTGAGAAGAAACCGTAAACAAAGGGACACAGACTCCTGGGTCTCCCACCAGCCGCTCTCAGTCCCCGGGGCTGCGGAGACACTTCTCTCTCATCAGCCTGACAGAGCCTTTCAGGAGGCAGGGGGCTGCTTAGGATGAGGAAGGCAACAAGGTCTCAAAACGGAATTCGTTTGAGGGAGGGCTCTCCCAAGGGGACAGTACCTCGGGGCCATTCCGGGAGGGGGAAAAAATGCATTTCAAGATATTTTCTCCTCTGGGAGAGAGGAACAATTAAAACCTGTGATCATCTTTTCTCCGATTCCTCCCTGCCCTACCCAACCCCCACTAGAAAACAGAGGCAAGCAGGCCTTTGCTCAAAAGCCCCACCATGGAAATCAGGACCGGTGGGCCGTTCATACCCAGCAGCTCCAGCCAAATTAATAAACATGTCGCCCATTTTAAATTGGCTACAAATGACACTAATGTTTTCCGACAGAATTAGGGTGGCTGAAACCGTATGTAATGAGACAGAAAATTATGGTAAAGATGACAACTGGATGGGCATTTCCAAGCACACTTATGGACGATTAGGACACAGGCTAGAGAAGAGGAGGGGAAGGAAATCGAGAGAAGGGAGACAACTGCCAGGCTTGGCAACTCAGCATAACCTCAGGCTCAGAATGCCGGGGTTCATTTTATAGATCAGGGGTCTCAAGTGCTGCCAGCCCCGTTCCTAATTTCCTTTCGAGGGAAGCAGTGGTTCCTGCGGAGTCCTTCAGTGGACTCTGAAGTGGGCAACAGGGAACAGACCCTCCCCCCACCACCCCAGTCCTCACCCTTGGCGAGTTGCCAGATTCTCCTGCCTATGGCTGCTGACCCTGATTCTCTCCCACCGCCTCACAGGCCAAGGCATGGACATTTAAATGGAGGCCAATGGGGCAGCTCTTCAGAGCAAAATAGCCCGGGCTGTGTGGCCAGTTACAGACCTCCAGAAGCAGCCTGGGGCAGGCCCAAGAGGTACCACATAAGTTCCACTGGCCTCAGTGTCAGCTGCACATGTCTCAATTGAGAACGGCTTGATCGATTTGGGGGTGATATGGGGAGAATCTCAGACACTTCGGGTTTGAGAGGGAAAGCAGCATCTGTTAAGATACTCAGAAGTAGAAAATTCTCTAAACTCCTGGTGCCCAGGGATCCCTCTCCCATCGGGGGTGTGGCTAATCCCTGCTCCAGTCTGAAAGGGCCAGAGCACCTACTTCTTGCCCTCTGACTCAAGTCCCTAGAGTCTCCCAAGGCCAGGCGGGAGGGACACTGGTAGGGTAGTCTTGACCTGGATGACCAGATGCTGTGCAGCCTCACAGCTCCCCTTACCTGCGATTCTGGTACCAGGTCTTGACCTGGGTGTCAGTGAGGTTGAGCGCAGCTGCTAGGTCCATGCGGTCCTGCACACTCAGGTACTTCTGCCGCTCAAAGCTACGTTCCAGTTGATTGAGTTGGTGGTCAGAAAAAGCCGTCCTGGCTTTTCGGGGCTTTTTGGCTCTCACAGGGGGACTCTCCCGGCTGCTTGTGATCTCCCGGTCTCCTTCTTCCTTTGTTCCTGCGACAGAGACCCAGACATAGTCCTAAATTAACCTGGGATGGAGAAGGGTGGTGTGTCCTCTCGGGCACACACTTTCACATTCCCAAGCCAGTCTTGGGTCTCGGGAGGGCTATATTCTGCCACCATCCTCACACACATTCTTGGACCATAGCCAGTATGGAGGAAGAAGAACAATATCCTCTTCCACTGGTTGGGGAGTCATGGGTGATATGGGAGCTCCTAAAAGGATTCTAAGGGCCTCCCTGGTGGCGCAAGGGGTTAAGCACCTCACTATGAAGCAATCCGCAGCCTCTGCAGCACAAGTTCAATCCCCAGCCGGCCAGGGAGCAACCCACATGGCACAGCAGACTCTCCTGACTCGCCTGCTGCTCCCCTCAGCAGTGTACTTCGGTCAATGTGCCTGTTCTGTTCCCCACTCTGTCTCTGGTGGATCCTCTCACACACCCCCATCTCTGGCCAGTACCCCAGCTCTTGTATACATAAATAAACACATCTTTAAAAAAAAAAAAGGATTCTAAAAGGGTGTCTGATCTTCCCACCACTGGAATTTAAAAAGAAAAAGAAATTACAATAAAGGTGCCTTAAAATAAAGGCGTCTTAAATTACTGTTTCCTTGACTCAGGGAAGTCCCTGCTCCTTTCCTTGATTGTTTTCACAATGACTTCATTTTTTTCTGATTTGGTAGTATTAAAAATTAGCTCTATCTGCCTTTTATTTATTTATTTCTTTATTTTGCTAAGGGGTACCTTTTTCATTTCACTCTTCCTAATTACTGAAAATTATAGATACTTAATTTCCTTTTCCAGATGTACTTGGGAAATAGTAGAATCAAACTCTCCGCAGCTGCTTGCATCAGGTCTTTTAAACCTTCAGAAAGAATATGTCACCCAGACACTGAATTGAGCTCAAAATCACTGAGCCCATCCAGGTGACAGCCCAGAGATTTCCGGATTCTATTTGTCAACTTTGGTTTTTTACTGAAATGCTGGGAAATCGATATGTCAATCCCTCTCTGTTTGTACCCGTTTTTGCTGCGCTCCTTGATCTTCCCTGCAGGAAGAACAATAATCTCTCTAATTGACCCACTGGGGAGGTTGGTGCACAAAAAATCGCCAGACCAGACTGTACATCTGTTTTGGGCACTATTATGCTAATGCTATAATAGTAAAATGAGGTGCCAATATCCTACCTTCCAGTTAGCAGACACCCTTCCCAGAGACAACGAATATTAATAACAGTAGTAACAGCAATACCTTAGAACATACTGGTAAAGGAATAACTCTCTTGATGTGTTAAAAACTCCCTTTGCCATGCATAGGCCAGAATATTTATTTATGAAAATGTGTGAGGAGGAAATGCAGTGCAGGGCAATTTCAAATGCCATCTTCTGATTTTAAGATAAAAATATAAATTCAGTTCCATGACATTTTACCTTCATGAATGTTCTATCCCAATTACTTGTAAGAGCCAAACATTTTACTAAAATTTAAACAGATACTCATTTGGGACCACGGGTAAGAGTGGTGTCTTAAAAAGCTGATTATAAATGTTTACTGTGCAAAGATACCTATAATAATCATGATCTGATTTTTTTAAGTTGCTGTTAATCAACTCGGATTTTTTTCCTTCGTTAAATCCTATCATTGCTGTGATGGTAGTTAAAAATATGAGGGGGCGAAGTAATTCGCATTAAAGAATGAACACCACGTTGCGAGCACACCCGTAGACACGACGCTAGCTAAGTCTGTTTCTTTCTCCCACATCCTCCATTCCCACTACCAAGGTCTCGGTTAGAAAAACCCAAGTCCTTCCTTTTCATCTACGAAAGCATTCCCCAGTAGGGCCTCTCTGCCGCTGTTCCTTCCTAATTAATTAAAATTAAGTAAAACAAAGAAAGGAGTTGCAGGGCGGTGAAGATCGAGAGGTGGAAATTTAACAATAAGAACTTCGGACGAATCCCAAAACGCACGCCCAGACCTCCCTCCAGCTTGCAGGTTTGGGCCCGTGGCGCAAGCTCCTGGAAGAACTCAGCCTCCAGGCTTTTCGGGGGACTGAAGGAGAAACAGGGAACCAAGTGCAGGAGAAGCCAGTCGGCCGAGAGGGCCTACGCGGCCAGACTCACCGTGGCATTTGATGTCGCTCTGGGAATCTTCCCGCTTGTCGAGTTTGGTCTTGCTGTCCTCCTGCTCGAGCTTTGGCCTGAAGCTCTCGTGTGCTGCGTTGCTCTCCTGCTTGGGGGTGTGGTGAGGAGAGGAGACGCTGGTGCTGTAGGGTGCACACGCCGCCAGAGGTTTGCTGTCGCCCAAGATGTCCTTAATTAAAAAAGAAGAGGTGGAAGTCCTGGGGGCCGAGGCGGCAGAGCCGAGCTGCTGGGTCGGGGGCTGCTGCTGCTGCTGCTGTTGCTGCTGCTGCGGTGGCGGCGGCTGCTGTTGCGGCGAAGGCTGCAAACTTTGCGTGGGGGCCGCGACGGGCGGTGGCTGTTGGCCGTGGTGGAGATGGTGGTGGTGCTGGGACCCGTCTGCTACCAGGTGCGGCTCCGGGGGCTCCATGGTGACCGAGATGGGAGAAGAAGGCGCCGTTCCTACGGTATCAATCTCCGAACAGGGGGATGGAGTGGCCTGACTCCTAAAATCCGCGGTCCTGGGCTCGCCGAGCGGGCGGAAATCTCCATTCATCATGCCGGGGCTGCCCGAGCTGGCACTGGACAAAATCGTGTCTATTCCAAAACTCGACCCGCTGGCCCCTTCCATTGTTGTCATTTCTACATGAGGTCCACGCCGCTCCGCCGCCCCGCCGCCGCCGGCACCGAGCACGCGAAGCTAGCGGGCGTGAAACAAAATAAACACCGAGCGGTAGCGTCGCCGCTTTCAATTAAAAAACAAAACAAAACAAAACACAAAACCAAGTGGGGCTGGGAGGGATGGAGGCTAAGCGGGACGTGGCAGTCGGTGGGCACTTGCAACACAACTTTGCTCCCCTTTATGCAAAAAGTAGGAGCCGGGAGAAAGGAAGACCCGGGAGAAAGTTATTAAAAAAATTAAAATCGGAGGCGGCGCGCCGCGTGCGCTCCAGGCGCGGCCGCGCACGTGGGGGGCAGCGGCGGTGCTGGGGCCCCGGGCCGGGGCGCCGGCGGCGGGAGGTGACCCCGACACCGCCGCTGCCGCCTGGGTGTGCCCCCAGCCCGGCGCCAGGCGGCAGCGGCGGCGCGGGCCGCGGCAGGTGCGGCGACGGCGAAGCCCCGGCGGCCGCGCGCCCTCGGACGTCCCCCGCGGCTCCCCGAGGTGGCCGCCGCCGCGCCTCGGCCGCCCCGGAGCCGAGTTCCCGAACTTTCTCGGAAAGTTGTGAGGCCGACGCCGCCGCCGCGCTGGCGGCAGCCCGGGAGGCAGAGGAACACAAGGAGGAGCGGGCGCGGGCGGAGCCGACGGCGGAGACGCGGCGCCGAGCGACTCCGGCCGCGGCCGGGCGCGATCGCTTGTAATCCGGCGGCGGCGGGCGGCGCCGACCCCTCCCGTGACGTCACGGCCACTGCCGCCGCTCCTCGCGCCGCGCCGGGCCCGCGCCCCCGCCGCCGCCGCCGCCGCCGCGCCGGGCCCCGCGCGCCCATTGGCCGCTCCCGCGCCAGCGCGCGACGCCGACGTGCCGGGAGCCAATGGGCGCGCGAGTCGCGAGCCCGTCAGCGAGCGCGCCTCGAGCCCCGCCGCTCTTTTGAGAAGCCGCTCGCCCCTCGGCCGACAGCCGCAGCCGGGCGCCCGGGGCTCTGTGGGGCCAAGTCCGGCACCGCGCGCGGGGAGCAGAGCGGAGAGGGGGCGCCCGCAGGGGAGGCTGGGGAGGGGGGCCCAGGCGTGAAAAAATAAATAAATAAAACACGAGCGCGCGGAGCGTCGGACGGGCTGCCGGTTTCTGAAGCGGTCCGAGGGCGTCAGGGCAGGGCGGGAGGGGGAGGACTTGGCCCGCTTACCTTCAGGCTCCAGCGCGCCGCGCGCGCAACGGCCCCAAACGCGCGCGGGAACAGTCCCAGAGCCGAGGTGGGGGGGTCCCTGAGGGAACCCCCTGGGAAGGGCAACTCAGGCAGCCGGCGCTCTGGATGGGCGAGCGGGCTCCCAGCTCCGATGTCTCCTCCCGAGTGTCCCGGCGCCGGGGCTCCGGCCGCGCGTGCCAGCGGTGCCCTCGGAGGCTGGAGCGCGCTCCTGGCGCCCCCGGCACTCTCAGCCAGCGCAGCAAGGGCTGCTGCTCAGAACCCGGTACCCAGCCCGGTTCGGCCAGGGCCCGTGCTGGAAGAAATGCCTGGCCAGCCGCGTTCTCCCGAGCGGGGGAAATAATGCCCCAGGCGCTCTCCCCTAGCCGGGGCAGCCGCGGTCCGCGGCGGGGTCCGCTGGGCGCGGGGCGAGGGCACCGGGCGGCGGCTCCCCTGCCCGTACCCCGCCTCTCCACGGACGACCCAGTGTGTTCTCTCGCGCGCTCCCTCCCGCCCTCCTGTCCCTCCCGCCCGCCCCTCTCCGGTCGCTGCTCTGGAGAGGAAACAGCCACCGAGGCTCCACTTGGGACCTGGAGCTTGGCTGCGACGCCTCGTCGGAGGGTATCAGCTTGCATTATTTTCTCCAGGACGTCTCCGACCTGTCTCTTGTTGAATGTCAGAGTAATGGGAAGTGCCAGTGACAAGACGGCATATTACTCCTGATTAAGTGCCGTGTCAACCTAATTAGCAGAGTAATTATAAGGTGCTAATGAATGATTCAAAGTTCTTTGAGTTACATTTTACTCCAAATTACCATTTTGAGAGCCCTATGAATCTGCGTGGCTGGCAACGCTCCGTGACTAGGTGCAGAATGATGGGAGAAAATGGCCTTTCAAGTCTCCAAGGGCTGGGCCGAAATCTGGGGTTTGGTTGCCTTTCTCGGGTCCCCTTTCTGGGGAGCAGCTTTTTTCTGCTGCGGAGGGGATCCGCGCAGGCGGCTGTCCAGGAGGCGGGTGACCTCCCGGGGCAAGACACTGCCTTTGGGTCGGAACCGCTGCGGGAGAAGCCCTCGGTCCGGAAGGGGCAGGAGGGCGACGCGGATGCCCTCGTTTTTCTGGGAAACTCGGTTATTTTGACCCAGAAAAGGCCCGCACTGTTTCGAGAGTGTGTCGAGCGGTTTCGTATCGTCTTCGAACGGCTCCACGGGTCTGAGTCTGCGGAGAACCGCGGGAAGAAGAAAGCCGAGGCGAGGCCTGCACGAGCCGGGCCGCTCTCGCCTCTCTCGGCAGGCAGGGGCTGGCGAAGGCGCCGGGCTGGCCGCCGGCGGGGATGCGGGAGAGCTGTCGGCAGAGGCGGCCGGCGGCCTGAGGCGGGGACCCGGAGCCCTCCGGGAGGTGCGGTGGGCGCTGAAGATGGGGGTCGGATCCCTGAGCCAGGGAAGTCGCCGAGGCAGACCTGGTCGGAGCAGCCGCCTTTGGAGCGGGGACCCCGCACTGGTCGGGCTAACCCTCCTGGGAACCCAAGGGCGGGACGTCGACCTTGCGACCTAGGATCTCAGAACCACGGCCCGGAATTTACCAGGGCATCTGTCTTACCCAAGGTCAGAATGCCTTGCCCACGAGGCCGGGCGCCACACTCCTTAGTGGACTCGGCACCCCGGCGCCCCTGGCTCAGTTGGCCTCGGTGGGCAAAGGCGCTGGGGCGCCCGGAGCCTGCAAGCGATCACTACACATTCTTTTCCCTTCAAATATCAATTAGGGTTATTCTCATTCTGACAGCACTCACCAACTTCTACACCCCCTAATAAGGTCCGTTTCCTCCCAGACCTGGGGCTCCAACCAGCGCTTCCTTCATTGCCTATTTAGGGTGGAAAGTGGGGAGGTGAAGAAAACAAATTTAAGATCCAGAACTCATGGCACCGCACAAATCAATTATTCTCGACCTTGATAAATAATTCATTTAAGCCTGTTTTTGTTTTGTTTCAACGCCTAAAATGGCTCAAGAGCTCAAAAGCCTCTTTGCACAGCTTGTGTTGAGAGGTTGGACAGAGTTTTTTGTTTTTGTTTTGTTTTGTTGCTTGGAATAATCCATGACATTAGCAAGGGAGATAGAAATATGAGCCTACTGGAAAAAAAAAAAGGAAATCTAAAAAGAAATGGAGAGAGGAAGGTGAAGTGTCGGGGTGAAGGGGGACGTTCATTTTATAAAAAAAAAATCTAAGGCAAAGCAATGAAAGCCTAGTAGGCCCCATCTCGTAAACATCTCAGCTAAGTTTTGTTAAGAAAAGGTTAAGATCATAGAAGCTTCTTTAGGTGGAGTGTTAGACGGTCAGCTTTCAGGAGCAACAATTGTGAGGGTAAAAATATGACCTTGACTTTTATCAAGCCTCCTACCTATCAGCCCACACCAGACAGGAAATACTATAGTGGCCTGAAGACCCAAAACAGGAACTCAAATTCTAGATTGCAAATTTAATGAAAAAAAAAATCTGGACAGCTATGGTTTTGTTTCTTAACTTTTCTCAATCTTTTCTCCAGACACATTTCTCTTTTTGCCATTTTTTTTGTGTGAGCACATATGATGTACGTACCAAGAAGTCATGCACTTTCGAACATAGCAAGATAATGAAATTTTCCTTTAAAAAATAAAATTCAGAAATAGAACACCATGCAGACTGATCACATTTTCCATTCCCATATGTCTGAAAGGAAATGTATTAACTGAATTTAATATGAGATTGTCCCACCAGATTTATGCAACATAGTTCTAAATCGAGATAAGCTAGAAAATGATCTTCCACTTTCAGGCCTTCATTTCCTTAAAATAAAAAGACAAAGAAAGAAAGCAATTTTTTTTTTTTAATTTTGGAAGGTTTTGGAATTCACACACAGAAAGCAGTCACTTGCCAACAGCAGGTAAAAAAGAATAAACATTTCCTCGCGGCTCTGAAGGACTTACCATTTCTGATCATGACTGGAGATTCCCCCTCCCCATCACAGAAATGATCCAAACACGAGTATTTTAACCAATTTTGTTTCTTATTACACTCTCTGAAATCTACGTATACAACCAAGATTTACTATTTGGGATTGTGTTTAAACTGACACGTGAAATTGTTTTTAAAAATGAAACTGAACTTTGAAGAAATGCACTTGTAAATTGAGATGAACTTGAAACTGGTGTTTCTTCTTACTGTATTCAATTTTAATGTTTCCAAGGATGCACACGGTGACAATGCCAACTGAGGGGAACGAGGTGCAATGGCGCTTCCCTCCACTGGGCGGCGCCAATAACTCCGAACCGAGCTAGCCAGCTATTGTTTCTTTCTATAAAAGATGCGAGATACACAAATAAGCTCTCTAGCTCCTAAGACTGCCTCCCTGACGATTCTGTGACCTCTCGTCTTTTCAAAGCTACTGAGAGTAGGAAGGTTTTTTATTGCATCTTTTTCAGCCTATCAATATATTTCTAACTGCTTAAGCACTTGATGTGTATTTGCTTTGAAAAATAATATATTAAAGAGAAAGACGGCAACATAAAAATTGAGTCCCTTAAATAGACTGAAATCAGGAGAGTGGAGATCGAGGGCAGAGGGGAGGAAGGTCAGGAGAATAAAAAGAATAGGGTAACTGAAAACTTTTCAGAGCAGGTTAATGGTAATCTATGCAATTACTAATTGACCTCAGGGAAGAAACGTTTTGAGAAATAATTCTGGTATACAAAAACTTGTAAGAATTATAAGCTTTACTACAACTTTAAAAATCATCACTTGAGTGAACTTCACCTAGTGAAGTTAGTTTTCCTTTGGGGGAGGGGGAGATGTGAGCTGTGCCTTATCAGGGCACACAGGAGTGCTCCCCAGCAACTCAGCACCACAAGCAGGAGAGAAAGGGAGGGTAAACAATTGTGATCAGCTTGAAAGGAAGCAGAGCTTTAGGGGAAAGCATGCTGGAAGAAAGTGTTTTAGTCTCATTTTACTACTTTTCAATGGTCCTGAGTGAGGCATTATCCTCTGGTCGCCAGCTTCCTTTTTTATGAAAGGGGAGAATCATCTTCACCTAGAACAGGGTGATTGTGATGACCAGA